GTCTCATTTTTTGGTTGGTTGTGCGTCCGAATCTCTTCCTTATTCTGACTTGGAAACCACCCCATTGAATAGACTCGATCACTATGAACAGTTGGAAAAAATTAAACAGCATTTTTGGAGAAGATGAAGTACCGAATACATTACTCAGCTCCAACAGCGTTTAAAATGGAAGGAGAATATGTGCAATCTCTCGGTTGGTGAATTGGTGCTCGTTCACGATAACAATACGCCTGTGTATAAATGGCGTCTTGGACGCTTGTGTGCCGTACATCCAGGATCTGACGGTTGTGTGCAAGTTGCATCCGTCAAAACCGCCTTTGGTGAAATTAAGCGCGCGGTAGTGAAATTAGCGCCACATCCTATTACGTAAAGACCAAAATAACAACTGATGTTTTTTTCATATTGGACTCTTGTCTATATGTTCTTAGTTTAAGTCAGTTTTATAGTCTTTTGCATTTTGTTGATTCTAATGTCAATTGTATACTTTATTGAAAGTATCCTTTCAAGGCTGGGGGCATGTTGGAAAGAATAATTTCAAATTAATTTGGAATTGATTTTCATTTCTTTCCAAATAATAATTTTTTTTTGAACTTTCATGTCTTGAAGGAACTGAACGCGATAATGCGTTCGGGAATCAGCGCGAACTCATCGCGGAATACCGGCAGTAGAAGTCGTACCAGAAAAAAAAATTAAAATTTTGTTGAATAGTTGCCTAGAGATTCAAAAGCTAGAGAGGTTATGCCCATTGTCTTTGAAGCTTCAGATTTTTCTATTTTTAACGTTCTCGGGCTCCAGCTTTGAAGCTACGTCAGTTTAACTTTTTCTTTTATACAATGAAATATTCAATATACTACAGAGTGATTTACAGTCTTTTTCAAGTTCAATTCGCAATGTCCGAAAGCATGCTTCAATTAGTGCTTTAACCGAAAAAGCGGTATGTTGATACTAGCTCGTGTATCGTGTATCAACAGCACCCTCATCAACAAAAAAAAAAGATCTAGAACAGTAGAAGTTCACTTAAATTGAACCCAAATTGATCTAATCTATGTCAATCGAATTCGGCTTATATAGAGATACGTGGTATTAAATTCAAGATTGGTCCAGCCGTTCTCGAATTCAAAAAATAATAAAGTAACGTTGGTTGAATGCACAAGCTTAAATAAATGAAATGTGGCAACGTTGTTTCATGTTGTCGAATAAAAGTTCGGTTATGTTGTTATGTAATATAAATGAGTTTGTTTAAAATTAAATAAATAATTAATTCAAAACTAATTTCTTTTTCTGAGATGCGTAACCTATCTACAAACTTTCCTTGGGATGGCCATAACAACCTACCAAAGTTTGATTGTAATCGGATAAGTTGTGTAGGAGCGCATAATGGACAAACAAACAAACATTGATTTTTATATATATATATATATATATATATATATATATATATATAGATAGATTTAATTGAAGTAATGTCCTTCGTTGTATTTCATTTATTCTGCAACCATCAACTTTTATCACTAGAAAGTTCCCTATAATTTATATCGATTCAATGAAAGTTATCAGATTTAAATTTCGAGATGGGATGTTTTCTTCTCTTGCTGAAAGTTTATTAGAAAGAATAAAAAAGAGAAAATCACTGGAGCAAACAGAAACCTTTTTTTTTCGAATGGAGATGAAAAACAACATCAAAATGATAATTTTAACCCACAAATTACTTTATTAAAAATGGAAAATGACATACGCAAAATCTTGTCCTTATATTTATTTGAAAAAAATCTTTCGTGTTTCCCATCCCTCTCTAAAGCAGCTTAATTAAAATTTGAAATTTGCACTTGCTGGTCGTTTTTGAGGAATTTTACTATCGTTAGTAATTATTAAACCGAACTCTAATTAAATTCCAAAATAGAGCAATAAGGAGAAGGATGAGTAGTTATAAAAGACCCGTGGAATGCTGCGATAATTAAAAAAATGCAATTTGAATTATTTGATCTGGTCTTATTTTAGTTCCAATAAGAAAAATTTCTTTTGATTGAAGTTATTCCGAAACATAGTTAATTAGAGAGAGTAAAGATTCCTATAAATTCGACAAGTTAAGATGGCGCCTGATGTAAATGTGTGTTTGGAATTCTCGGACAATTTTATTGTGACTAAAGGTTCATACAATGTTTTTTCTGTGAAAATAAGTATCATTTAACGTGTGTCTTCATAAAAGATACAGTGTACATACAAGTTAATAAGTGAAAATACCAGAATATTTTGGTCGTGTTATAAGTGTAGTTAAAGCATACAGAAAAGTAAACAAACTGCTGATCCTGAAAAAATCAATTAATAAAGAGACCGGTGGAAGAAATCCAATCAAAAAATAGTGTCTTAATGGAAAACATCGAAGACAAATTAAATGGGGACAATAAATTATTCCAAAATTACGCCTATTATTAATAATGGCCTTTGCTAGGCAGCAAGTTCTACTTGGGCAAACGAAAGTGGCCACTGAACCCCAGAACTGAACCAAATAAACCCGGAATAACGTCAGTGAACAGTTGTTCGACACCTCAAACTGTAACTTTTCTAGATTATACAACTCACTGTACATTATTCCCATATGACACGAGAGGATTAATAAGTGATAATCCTTCCCATATGACACGAGAGGCTTAATAAGTGATAATCCTTTTGCACGGTAACTGGTGTTTTGACATTTTTTGACAAAAAATTTAAATTTTTGATTCATGAAATTATTAATTGAAAAAGAATTAAAGTTTAGTTCGTTGCATAACCTTTTGAATACCACTCGATGTTTCAGGCTTACCTAATACTTTTACCTGACACTCAACGCGTTACCAGCAACACCACTCCTCCTTCGGAGTCGTGGTGTTGCTGCGTAACGCGTTTCGTGACAGGTAAAAGTATTATCCGGTAATCCTGAAACCTCTTGTGGTATTACATTCGATAATTTAAAAAATAATCCGTACAACAACAATAACATCAACAAACAAATAATTCGCCCTGATCAGGTAAACCTCGCAAAACAACGAAATATCACGAGGGAATAGGGAACTTGCACATTAAATTAAATATGTAATAAATAATAAAACACAATAATATTCATCCTAATAAATGATGCAGTTAAGGAAAAAATATTATATCTCATCTCTGGTGTCCGAAATCTTCAATTGAAAATACCAAATAATTCGAAATTCATGAGGCTATCAAAAACGTGTTTCTATGGGTCGTGACGTCACAAGGCAGTAATAATCGGGTCGCGCCGCTGCCACGTCATGTGCTGCTGGTGTTGTCAATGTCAAATCTATCAGAAACTGCATACATAACAACATAACCATAATCTTAATCTACCTGCTCGAAGTTCAAAGTGCTCGTCAGTATCATCGAAATTTTGTTGCCGAGTGACGTCACACTAATCGGTCGTTTCGAATGGCGATGTTTCGAGCGTAACTTCAAATATTTATAAAAAATTAACGGCTGATTTTTAATGCTTGATATTTGGTATGACTATGTTTTTAGTGTAGTAGAACACATTTTTGAAATAAAAAAAAAATGTGCAAGTTCTCTATTGTAAGACACCGTTGAAAGCGCCGATTTGTTTTGCGGCAAAATGAGGAAGTTGATACATCAGTACGAACGGTATCAAAATTCGTTTATTTGCATGTAACTGGGTTGCATCCAAACACAAAACCTGAGGAGCTGCAGAATATGCTCATAGGTAAGTTTCCTGATATTATTTGTGAGCCTCATGAATCCAAGTATCCAAATAAATATGCTTCACTTGAAGTGTCAATTCGTCAAAAAAACTTCAAAGATGCTTGGAATAGAAATTTTTGGCCTGTTGGGTCAATTGCTTCAAAGTTTTTTGGCAAAAGGAGGACTCAGCCAATAGTAGAACGCCAGGTCGTTCCTTAATCCCAGACACAACAATAACAGGGCATGGATGTGAAATTAATATTTATTAGCAGAATATAAGGGGGCTCATTGTTGTTTTTAATGTTTATTAACGATATTGTAAGAGTTGTTAAACAGTCAGTTGTGATTCGCAGATGATTTCAAGATTTTTAACTGTGTTACAAATGTTAACCATTGTGTTGCACTTCACGATGATTTTTACTCAGTTTCTGATTGGTTCAGAAGAAATAAAATGATGATTAACTTTAAAAAAAGTATTGCTGTATCATTCACAAACAAAACTAATCCTATATTGTTTTCATATTCAATTGATAATAATTAACTTCAAAAAAAGACTGAGTGCATGGATCTTCGGTATGCTTTAAGACCAATTTTAAATTTAATCAACATTATGAGTACGTTATTAGCAAAGCATATAGATCTCTTGGATTCATTATGCGTAACACAAGGCGATTTATTGATATGGGTGTCGTAATTAAACATTATAATGCTCATGTTCGTTCACACTTAGAATATGCTTCTTTTGTATGTTCTCCACAGGCAAAAACCTACTGTGATACCATTGAAGGCGTTCAAAAAAAGATTTATAAGATTTTTGTATGTCAGAAAAAATAATATATATATTCGTATCTAGTCTCATTTAGAAGCATATTGGATGTCTTCAATTTCCAGACATTGGAAAAAAGAAGGCAGATACAGTGTGTGCTATTTATTTATTATTTTATCAATGATATAAAGTACAATAATGTTCCTTAACATTATTCCTAACATGTACCTAAAATTAACTTAAGGGTTAGAAGAGATAAATTTTTTTCATGTACCAGTGGGTAGCAGTTCTTCCCTCAATTGTATGTTGGTTAAATGTAATAAATTGTTTTCCCAAGATGTTAATCTAGACGATTTTATAAATACTCGACGTGAAATAATTAAAAAGTTAAGTATTACCTAGCAGTACCATCTTGTATGTTGTTTTTATTGGTGTAGTGTTTAGTTCGTAAGTATCCATTTCTCTTACTTGTAATTACCATTATGGTGTTTGTATGAGTATCAATAAATAAATAAATAAATAAATAAATATATAGACTTACCGTTTTCGATTTGAGCTGTACATTTTGACAAAACATCCACGGCAATGAACACTGAAACAAAAGAATATTTCAATGCTTAAATATTTTTTGATTTTGATAAATAATAAAATAATTTTTATTATTTTGTAATTTTTTGTAATTTTAACAAAAAATATATATTTTTGACTTTTTAATAGTTTTATGTACACAAATACAGTTTTTTACAGAAGAATAAATATTCGGAAAAAATATATTTAAATTTATTTCATATCCACTGAATATTTTTCGAATTGGTGCTTTTAAAATAAATAAATTTTACTATCGAATTTTTTTTTGGTGTGGAGTTAATTTTTAAATGATTTTCTTCATGAAAGCCATTGATTCCTGCGCTGCTGAAATAATTCAGGATTTTTTTTCACAAGCTGTCCATTTTATTTATTTATTCACACACGGGACTAGCCCATTTCAAATGTTACAAAAATTGAGGTAATTTTATATAAAACGTGATAATAACAATAAATTTGGAATAAAACTAAGTCTGTGATTTACATTCTAGCCAATGGTGAAGTATTATATTGAAAATAACTAGAAAGGGTATTAAATGATAATTCTTGTTAAGAGAGCAAGAAATTGGTTGTATGAGTTGTCATAAAGATCCAAAGTTTCTGAGTTAGCAGCTCGTGTTAATACAGTGATGGGAGAGTTGAAGGCATAATGGAAGTGTTGGGTAAATAGATAGAAAAGTATTGCGTGTGCTTTGCAGAGAGAAATGGGAGTTTAGCTTTTGTAGTAGGTGTGGATCGTAGGATCTGTAATTGATGATATTAAACAAAAGTTTCATATCCTGTTGTCTCCGGCGTATTGATAGGGCGTTCATGTTAATTGAGCTCTCTAGATCAGCAGAGTCAATCTGCTCACTGGGTGTGTTTAGTTTATAAGCTGCATAACGAAAAAAAAATATGCTGGATATTTTGGATCTTATTTATGTGGACTGCCTAATAAGGATTCCAGACAGAAGAACAATAATCCAAGTGGAATCACATATACATATGTCAACGCCAGAGTTAGGGGAAAAATATGTTGCACGTGATATATTGGCATCTAGGAAAGTTCAGAGGCACAGACACTGCTTCACAATTAACGGTTATAAATATTTCGCATTATCTGGAATACAGGATACAGAAAGCAGAGGGTAAAGTTAATAAAATTGTAAATGTTATGGCAAAAGAAAACAATAGGCATTCGATTTTATGATTAAGGGAAGATTTTAACAGAAAAAAAAACATATTGTGTGGGTGAAAATTAGTTGGGACAAAAAAAAATATAACAAAAAGACATGAATTGCTGATAGTTAGTGAATTTAATTTTATATAACCCTTTTAATGTTGACAGTATGGTGAATAACATTTAAAATACAGGGTTCCCGCTATTTATAATATCAGCAATTATTACATTATTACACTATAGAGGACACGATTCTCATTTAAATTTGACGTACCGATTAGTACCAACGTTTTTCGTTGGAGGAAGCGCTGCCTGCTCACCTTGTCCGTTTAAATTCTCTTTCTTTTTGGATTGTGTCGTCGAGCTGCAAAGTCGATCGACTGAAAATCGCCATCATCTCGAGGCAACCGTGCCGTAGTAAAATAAAGTACCTTATCGGCCTTCAGGCATTATCTTATCTTAACGAAATAAAGTTGTGTAAGACAATAATCAGTTGATTGAAGAAAAAATTGGATTCAAAAGTCTTGTAATTACTATTTTATTTAAGTTTGAATTTCAAATCTCCTCGTGGTAAGTTTTTTTAATTTTTTTTTTTAAATAATAGCTGTTCAAGGAATGCCATATTACTTAGGGTCTTTCGGAGAACCGTTTCTTACAGCAAATCTATTCTTTTCAATAAGAACACCATTTCCATGGAGTGTAGCATAGAGCTTTTGGAGGGATTCCTACAAGAATCACGACCCTCACGAGTCGATACGTGTGCCCCACATTTGGCGACAATTCTAGTCCCTAATCTACCTGGATTCTAGGCTAGAATCTGCAAGTTCCATATGCAGTTTCCTTTGTCAAATGACCGAGGATGGATGGCTTCCGTGCCATAGCTTATGTTGGAATGGAGGCTTGTATTAAGTTTCACTAATAACTTTTCCCAGCAAACATCGTCCGTCTGCATACTATCGGCCGATCGCTGGCATCGTCTTATATCTGCTGGCATCGGTACTATTCCTACCTGCCCAATACGGCAAGTAATATCTGCGCCGGGTATTTAGTTCACGAGGAATTTATAAAATTCAAGCATCTTAAGGGATACGGCAAGTTGCTGGTATAAAGATGATTTTACATATTTTGAAATTGCCGCCTATTTTCTTAGCGCCGCGCCGCGTGGTGATATTTCGAATTAGATGACCAGCCAAGCCAAGCCAGTCCGAGTCCGGCGTCCTCTCCTCTATTCCTCCTTTGATGATTCATTAAAATTATTGTTTTTTGGACTGGAATTATATTACATAAACTTATTTCGAACTTCGGAGTGTGTGGCAGCAATATTTGTGACTGTGAGTGCCTTTTTTGAGAGGCTCAGGCAGGCGGCATCAGCGCTTTTAGTTTGGCGTTCGGGGCCATTACCAAACTAGAAAGGGAACCTAACCTAACTGGAAATTTTATATTATAAAGGTGAGTTTATAAAAATAATTCCTGCCAATTTCAAGGTAATAAAAACATTGATTTTCCACTTTTTAATCTCGCTTTATCTATACGAAATATACACCATAGATTCAAAAGTTTTGCATCACCCTATTATGACTATAATTTATTGGGATTTTTTTCCTATAAAAAAGTACTTTCGAAGATTGGGTGTTGCAATTTTGAATCTAATGTATATTTGCAATTTATTTGGGTATTTTTTTCCCTCTTAGTTGGTTTGTTGTTGTTTTGTAAACTCATATAATATGGTCCTCGGGTGATTTTGAGAACCCTAAAGACATTTTTAACAGTTTTTTTTTTTATCGAGTAAGTGATTTCTCCTTTTCTAGGTTTTCCCGAGGGATTTGTTTTTACCGAGGTTTTCAGCAGTTGCTTCTGCTTTACTCTGCAACTATTGTGCTGTGCAAAATGGACCATTCACAATGGAATATCAACGAAGGTGAATAAAACCGGCTTCTAATGAAATGTTTTGTTTTTTTTTTACAAATTTAGTATTTTTTTTTTGTAAAATGCCCTTGTAACTTTTCCACTAAATCACCCTCATATGAATATAATATATTCATAAATAAACTTGAAAATAAACATATTATGTTTATTTTCAAGTACCTACCTATATGTAAGTATCACCTATTTTTTACCTGTATCCTGTATTTACTTATAACATTTTTTAAATAAAATAAAAAGCTATGTCAATATAAATTTCGGAATATTTTTTACCCATAATTTATAGGTGTAAAGACTTGGTTTGCTACAATAACCTAATAAACAAAAAATTCAAGGGATTTAGCTATCAGCGCAGTAATTAAGTTAAAATTTTTCTTTTACTAAAAGTTTCTAGATTTTAGAAAAATTCTCATTTAATTACAATTGCGTTCATTATTAGCATGTTTGCTGAATATTTGAAATTTTTGTTGGTTAGGTTACTTTCCCGAACGGATAATATGTCGATTGATTGGTACTGGAAAAATAGTCTTGCCATTAAGGGCTAGTCCGTCTAAACATCAACGGCAAGCTGCCGTGAGGCAGCTAATGATTTGATACGGGAACGAGTAGGCAAGTAGAAGTTGCCGCTATCTTGCCAGCAAGCGCTCGTTTATGAGCCTCTCCGACGAAGATTCATGCTAAAGACTGAAGGCCGCGGGTGCACATACGAATCGGGCCAGCGTGAGATGCCATCAATGGCAAGAAGAATTCATATCGGCATAGAAGCGCTCGGCCGACTGACCGCCGACTGAAAAATGTTTGCTGGGTTAATACCTTTTTTTTTATAAAATCAGTTTTAGAGCCAATTAACAAAATTATATTTATTTATGTCATACCAATACAATATTGTGTTTTTACACCTTAGATACCATCTACATAATTCATTACTTTATGCCCGTGCGGGCATAAAGTACACATTATGGCCCACGCGGGCATAAAGACGCAAAAAACAGTTTTCAATTAACTTATTCTTTATCAACAAAATATAAATTTACGCTTATAAACATATTATTTTTGTCAAAAAATGATGATGTTTGCACACTGATAACAATTTGGGAAGTGACACTTTTTTCCCAGGTATTTACTATTCACAACCAACTGGTATGACATAAAAATGTGTATGCACCATGGGTACTAATAGATATATATATATATACCCTCGGGCGACTTACGAACCCTCGGGCCAGAGGCCCTCGGCTTTGTAAGACTGTCACCTTCAGGGCATAATCATCTACTTAGTACCCTTGATACATAAATAACTATTATGTCATACCAGTACATTATTGTGTTTTTATACCTTAGATACCATCTATATAATTCATTACTTTATGCCCGTGCGGGCATAAAGTACACATTATGGCCCGCGCGGGCATAAAGTACACATTATGGCCCGCGCGGGCATAAAGTACACATTATGGCCCGCGCAGGCATGACATAAAAGTTTGTATGCACCACGGGTACTAATAGATATATACCCTCGGGCAACTTACGAACCCTCGGGCCAGAGGCCCTCGGCTTTGTAAGACGGTCGCCCTCGGGGCATAATCATCTACTTAGTACCCTTGATACATAAATAACTATTATGGCACTGGTGTGTTATGTTGAAAATAAGTCACGCGAGAAAGAATAATACCACGAGGCCGTCAGGCCGAGTGGTATAAATTCTCAAGTAACTTAGGAAACATAACACACGAGTGGCATACAATGTTTTATCCGACAAGTGGAAGGAATAGTTTTTTTATGAGATAAAACAAAAAAAATACAAGTTTCTAATGCGTCGGCGTCTTCCATCCACCATACAGCTGCTGATCTGTACCGATTTGGGTGAGTCTGGTTCCAATGAACCAACGAATTTTACAATGACTTCAAATTCGAATAAACCGTAA